ACACACACAAGTGTGCCTCAGGCTCCAGTATCTAAAGTCACCTCAATGGTAATTAAAACCTAATTTTACTACTTTTAAAGGAACTATAGTACCATTGGTAACACGCTTGCCTGGTACTCACAAAGCCTTGGGGTTGATCCCCAGGGCCACATATACTAGGCATAGTGGTACACAGCTATATCCCCATGCATGGGAAGTGGAGACGAAAGGATCTGGAATCCAAAGTAATCTTAGGCTACATAGCAAGTTCAAAGCCAGCATGGGCTATGTGAGACACTATCTCAAAAGGAAAAAAAAAAAAAAAGGCAGATTAACTATTTCCACAACCAGGGAGATAGAGGAGGGAGAAATGCAGATGTGTCTCATAGATAATGATGCTTCACATACTTTGGGTTCTTTCTTTTGTTCATAGGTATAATATGTCTTCTTCTCCTCTTCCTTCTCCTCCTCCTTCTCCTTCTTCTCCTTTCTCCTCCTTCTTTCCAAATCAGTAACCTAAATAAACAGTTGTATATTTGGTGCACATAAATTATCAGATTTCATGTTGTTGTGGAACCTTATGGTTAAAATTTTTCCTTTTGCAATAGGACTCTCCTCCAAAGGCACAAAATGCCAACTTAACAAGATGAGTCTCCCTGCTACATATACTTCTCATCAGTTGTCCCATAGGTTTTTTTTTTTTTCTGATTCTTATATAAAGACCCACAAGGATAGAGTCTGAGAATAGCTCAGCAAACTCTTCAGATGTTTGTTTACTGTAGCATACTTTTCCTGGCTCCCTAGCGCATCCTCATTTTCAGGCTGAGGACATATGGTTCCTGTTCCCATTATCCATGACACAGGGCTGTGAGGACTCAGCTGCTTGCTTTGGCATCGGCAGCAAGGCAGATGCTGTCTTCTGACACCACTTCTCCTAGAACACTCAGCACGCAACGAGGCTCTGACACTCACTGCCTTTGTGTCCTTCGGTCAGATAATTGTGCACATCTGGATAGTCATGGGGATTAAAAATACTTGTCCAAGGACTAAGAGCAGTGTCAGATGCTTGGTGTCTTATTTTTGTTAGGCGAAGGAATGCTTTTTAGCTGCCTTTGCCGGCTTGTAATCCCAGTACAAAGAGTGTTGAAACATGAGCATTTCTAGTTGGAGGAGAGTCTGAACTGTGTAGTGAGACCCTATCTAAAAAATATATTTTAAAAGTTTATATTATTGGTAGGGGAGACAGCTCAGTGGGTACAGTGCTTTGCTTTGTAAACATCAGGACCTTGGTTAAATTCCCAGAATTCATGTTTTTTCTTAAAGGTGCGGTGGCATATGATCATAATTCTGTACTGGAGAGGAAGAGACAGGCAGATCTCCTGGGCTACAAGGCCAACCAATCTACCTTAACGAGCCATGGATGGTACCTAAGAAGTGATACCCAAGGTTGATCTCTGGTCTGCACATGCATGGACACACATGTGTCTGTGCACACACATGTTCATGCCCCACATGAAAACACACACACACACACACACACACACATCATATTATTTTGGTGTATCATAGACTTTAAAATTTGAACTTAGAACAAAGTCAGCATGTTTGATATGGGCCAGTTCTCCACTCAGTTGCCACAGGATGCATGTCAAATAAGATGAATATTTCATGGTGGCTTTTCTTAATATCATAAAGTAAATTTGAAGTACCTGTAAAGAAGGTTTAGCACTCTTCCCAGGTCTTTTTTCAGGGGAATCAGACTACTGCCGAGTGCAGAAGACACATATATGTGAGAACTGTGGACGGAATGTGTTAGTGTAAACCCCCAGTTCAACAACAGACTGGGGTCCTAGGACAGTGTCTTTAAAAACACTTATAAAGAATTTAAAGAGCTTCCTGCTTGTGGTGGGCAACATTTTTATTCATAGCAAAATCGCAGGACCCCATTTAACACTATCATTCAACATCAGCATTGTGAACACATTTTGTGTGGGAAATATTTTCTTGTGTTCTCAAATTTCTGATTGTTTGCACAAATGGATAAGAGCAGTTGTACATGTGACATGAATAGCTAACAATTTACGACTTCATTAATTTGGAACATAATAATGCAGATTATTTATATAATTGAGCTGATCTTCAAGTGTTAGAAGATAAATTCAATGCTTTATAATTTCGTTACATTTTTAAAAATATCAGAGAATCCCACCATACACCTGACTGTCAAACAAAGAGACTTCTTTACAGTACAAAACACTGCTTTAGGTCAATTAGACTTTGATAAATAGGTAAGTTTTGAAGTCAGAATATATTGGAAAAGGGACTTAAGTGTTTTCTCCAAAATAGTAATAGTTTCTCAAAAAAGTTAATTTTTTTTAGATTGTTTTTGGTTAGCACATGAAGAAATGGGGTCTTTTTATGACATTTTCATATATATTATTATATTTTATTATTGTGTACTTATTTCCTCTAACTACCACCCTCCCTCCACCATTTAAATAGTTCCTCCTCTTGATTTTATAACATACAGATTCTATTCTCTATTCTCCTTTACCCCAATAATAGCCTTTAGATACTGTATTTCATTCATAGTAAAAACATGTGCTTACTTAAGAATTATGTAATTATGCCGGGCGGTGGTGGCGCACGCCTTTAATCCCAGCACTCGGGAGGCAGAGCCAGGCGGATCTCTGTGAGTTTGAGGCCAGCCTGGGCTACCAAGTGAGTTCCAGGAAAGGCGCAAAGCTACGAAGAGAAACCCTGTCTCGAAAAACCAAAAAAAAAAAAAAAAAAAAAGAATTATGTAATTAAGAAAACCTAGAGAAGAAACTGAATATTATCACCAACTATGAGTAGATTTTGTATAATATTACAATTTAAGACTAAACAGATATAGTTTATTTAAGAAAAAATTTTCTCACAAAAAAATGGTTTCTTCTATTACAGTTTACATTATAATACAAATATGCTATGGACAGTTGTGTGGCATTTCCTAGGAGGTTTATCATCTTCATTCATTTAAATAATTTCTGTTCTCATTCTCTCTCTCTCTCTCTCTCTCTCTCTCTCTCTCTCTCTCTCTCTCTCTCTCATACACACACACACACACACACACACACACACACACTTACTTTTGTCTCTTGGAGCAGGAGTGGAAGAAGGACAGGGTCCCAGGGTCTCATACAGCCCAGGCAGACCTCAAACTCTGTACCCAACTGTGACTTCGAACTTCTGATCCTCCTGCTTCCATTTCCATAGTGCTGGGACTGCAGGTGTGTACTACCATGCCTGGTTTCTCTTTCTCTTCCTCCCTTTCTTCTTCTCCCTTCCCCTCTCTCACAGGATTTCACTATATAGCCCAGGCTATCCTCAAAGTTGTGGTGATCTTCCTTCCTCAACCTCCCAAGTTCTGAGATTATAAGCCTAAACCACCTTGCCCAGCTGATTTTGTCAATTCTTTATGTTGCTTGTGGTATGTAGGTTGATAGTTGACTTACTTACACATCCTCCCCCTGTGCATAGTATATACTCTTTCAAGCAAGGTCTCCTGTTTCACACTGTATACCCTTCAGTGTGGTGAGCTCAGCACCTCATTTGTGGTAGATGTACAATAAAGACATGCCAAACTGACAGTGATTGATTTGCTTGAAAAATATCAATAATATGCAATTTCTGAGCACAAAAGTAAGCAGACTTGGAAGGCCACTGCAGACTTAGTATCCATAAGAGCTGGCACTGTCACTGACATTCTCAATGTCACATAGAAGCACATAGGAAGAGATTGCTTACTGAGAGCAGCAGTCACATTGGTAACCAAAAAAAGAGACTTAGTGACCTTGGCAGGAAGAACAAGCTTCTACCATACTGAGGATAAGTGTTGACCTGAAGTTTGGGAAATGTCTATTCTATGGGGTAATGTAATGATAATTACATTTTATCCCTACAAATAACCAACTTATTTCACATTCACTAGGCATTTTTTTTTTTTTTGTCTTCAAGGCAGAGACAATTTACCAGATGTAGCCCGGGGTTTCTCCCACCTCAGCTTTGCAGACTTTCATGATTTCCCAACAGTTCTCCACTCAGGAGACAAGCCAGCAGCCTGGACATGCAGATACCACCTGGGCACAGCTTCCTAACAGGCTGGCCACTGCAGGGAGGTTCTCAGTGGTGGAATTTGGATTATGTGATGAACAGATGGGGACTAACTGCCACCATTCTAATCAGCTGGCTTGCCCCCAAATGCCACTTACAATGATTCCAAGAAAACAACTCAGACTTTAGTTATTTCCCAGGACAATGCAAGATTATCCTGTATCTTGTACTGAAAAACAACAACAACAACAACAACAAAAAACCAAAAACATCTCTGGTAATTGAGACAATAGACCAAAGGAAATGATCACAATGCCCATAATGTCTATGCTGAGAATGTTGAGTTTATTTGAAAATAGTATGATGTAAGTATTAGATCACAGTCCAAAGAGGGTACAGTGTTCTTTATCAGAAGAGGGTCCCAAAAGGGATCTTTCATGTATGGGTTGAATTAATTTTAAGAACATACTTGTCAAGAAAAAGCAATTTTTTTTAAATGATGTCCTGAGTGGCAGCAGCATGAACCTGGCCATCTGCCAGGAATCCTTAGCGTTAAGGTTGATCGACTCAGCAGCAGGTGTTGCAGGGGGAGGTCCTGCAGGTGGTGCGGCAGGGGGCAGGCTGGCAGCAGGGGGGCCTGCAGCAGGGAGCCTGCACAGAGATGGGCTGGCAGCAGGTGGAGGCCCAGCAGCAGGGTCTGCAGACCACAGCTGTGCAAGAGGTGGGGCAGCAGGTGATGGGGCGGCAGCAGCCCTGCTGCAGGCTGCAGGGGTCACAGCAGATGGGGCGGCGGCAGGGCTCACAGATGGGCCTGGTGCAGTGGGGCACGCAGGTCACAGGGCGGCACACTGTGGTCTGGCAGGACACTGGGCGGCAGCAGCAGGGGTCTCTGCAGCAGCAGGGCTGGCAGCAGCCTCCACAGCTCTGGGAGGAGAAGGATCCACAGCAGGAGCCGGTCATGGTGGGTGTCTGGGCTGGAGTGGGGCTGAGAAGTGGAGAGCGGATGGGTGTTCTCAGGTGTGATGTCTCTTCTGGGTCGGGTCCCTTTATATACCTGGCCAGTGCTGATGACCCCCAGGACAGATGGCCATTTCCTTGTTTTGGTTTATTCCTTCTGTAATGGCATTGGTGGATTAGTAAGTTCTCTTGACGGGTTTCAGGCGCTCGGGTCCTTGTAAAAGACTATTTGTGTTCCTTATTTCATGGTAACTCATTATATTTTGCTATTTATGGTTCAAATATGAACTTAATAACCCTAACTTCAAAGTTGCCAATTATCTTCATAGTTTGGTGATGCTTTTGCCGGTTGGTGTTTTGATGGCACAGAAGAGCTGCCGTGCCCTCGGGGTGAATTGGTAATGATGGAAGTGAATTCAGCAAATCATCATACAGCTCCTTTTCCACTCACTGCTCATGACAAAATGAGGCAAGAATGTTGTAAGAGTATGTCAAAATAGGTTAATAAGAAAGGAATTTCCCATCTCCTTCGGGAGTTCCAGGAACACATCTTAGTAGGCCTGCGTCTTCAGCAGCAGGTTTTGTCTTAGTTACCCATTCCCTGATTTCACGGTCTTAACCTTTCTAAGGGAATTCTATTGCTTTGTATCTTTACTTAGTATCACTGAATCCCAACTGTTTCAAACATCATGCTTAATTAAATAAATGTGTTAATTTAATCTTTATAAATTCCTACAAGGTAGGGATTATTATATCCTGAAATTTCCCTATACCAGACTAAGTGAGTTATTTACTCAATGTCATGTATTAGTAGATGCTGAAGGCAAAACTCAAACCCCAAATATGTGTCACAACATTGTTTATAAGTCCATCGAGCTGCAGAATAAATGATGAGGACCACATGACCAGAGCTTATTGAATATTTGCTTTGTTTAGGAATTTTAATGGTGCATTTACTTTTGCAACTGTTACATATGACATTTTCAATCATCTACCTGCATTTTGCTGCTTATCAAAGGAACTGGAAGAATTGAGTCCCACATAACTTAGGAATTCTAAAAATTCCCAAATATGCTTCCAAAAAAATTGGTCACAATTAAATAGTCATTGGACACTGTGAACAAAGCCACCCAATAGGTGAGGAAGTCAAAGAATCTGAGTCCATCTGAAGAAGCTTCTATCTCCTGGTATAGCAGTACCAGGTAGCTCCGATACAAAGTGGTCTTCAGTCCTTTCTTGTCTGTGTCTAGTATGGCCAGTACCTCCTGTGTATGAGGCTTCATGAAGTTTATTTCCACCATCAGAATCAACCCTGATGTTTAAAGGCTCCAAACAATCCGACTTCATAGAAAAACAACATCACTATTTTATAGCTCTTGTCTGCCTTTTCTCTATGATGTCTTCTGTTCTAGATCTGTGACTGGAGGCTCCAGTTCACGCCTTTTCATGTGTCGTGAGGCTCGCATAGTTTGTTACAGGGTTACCCAGCACTATAGCAGCCACTGTGGCTGACCAGAGTGTAGGGTTACCATGGACACAAACAAGTGCCAACACTCATATTAGTGTGTTTGGAAGCAAATAAAATGTTATCTATCTATCTGAGAAAACGAAGTCATATGAAAAAGTTTCCTGATGTCTAAGAAGGAAAATGCTGAGAGGAGTGAAGCGGAGGTCATTATATTTCTTTCTTTTTAAATGGTGAGCAAAGACACACAGAAAGAAATTGGACTCACAGAGGGCAAGGGCTATAGCTCAGCTGTAGAGCACTTTCTTAGTGTTCATAAGGCTCTATCCGCAGAACTGCAAAAGCAAAACAATGGGATTGGTAAACCAAAGGTCTGATGGGAAACAATTGCCCTCCCTAATCATAAGAAAACTCCACTGTACACATACTAAAGATGTATCACTATCAAATGGTCCCTGAAGTCCCTAACCACAGAACACGCAGAACACATGACTTCCTGTTGAGGTACCATGTGATGAATCAGTTCAGTGTTATTTAAAAAAATGCACATATCAAAAATGAGGCAAGTGTGCTGGGAAGATGATGTGTCCTCACCTCCTTAGTGCTTATTTATTCTCAATATCATTCTGTTGTAGTCTATGTGCCAAAAGTTGTGCAGATAAATCAGAATCCAATCTTGACCAAAACCAGCTCAGTCCCTCCCCTCACAAAGCTCCCTCACTTGCCCTGCCTCATCAGTCAGTGCATAGGACTAAGTGTATAAGCAGCAACCCAAAGGACTCATGTAGATTAGATTCCCGGGACTCAAGAAGTTGACAGCATGATTTTGAGCCCCTGTTTTGTGACTTGTTTGTGTCTGTCCTTTCTCTAAAATGACTTCCATGGTAGAAGGTTTTATTCAAGAAAACAAAAGCAATAAGCAAAACAAAACAAACAAACAAAAAAAACAGTAGTTAGTTTTCCTAACTGTCCTAACAAGATTCTAGCAACAGTGAAGCCATCCTACAAGGATTAATGTAAACATCATGTCACCCACAGTGACACTGTTTTAATGACACTGTATGTCATCTCATCTAACCCAAGGCTGTATTTTTTGATTTTCTCGTCAACAGCCGCATTGGGAACCTAACTGCCATGGTGGTGCTGGTTGCAGGGGATGGGAGAGTGGCTGATCGGTAAAGACAGAGGAATTCAGTGGTGAGGGTGTTCCTGGGGACTAGCTGATAGGATCATTGCATACTTTTCTATGTCGGGAAGCAAACGGGGCTGTAACTGGGGGTTTCTTCCTTTTCTCATGTGTATGGACCACTCATGAGTCAAATTCACAATCAAAGATCTGCCTCAACGTTTTTGTCCCATCACCACAAGAGTCTGTGTCTTTAAATATGAAATCTCATCAGCAAAATTATCTGAAATATTTGAATTCTTTTTAAAATTACAGATGATGTATTTCAAATACTCATGTGGGGAAAGTTCAAAATACAGCCTTTAGAAACATTTTCCCAGCCGGGTGGTGGTGGTGCACACCTTTAATCCCAGTACTCGGGAGGCAGAGCCAGGCAGATCCCTGTGAGCTCAAGGCCAGCCCGGGCTACAGAACAAGTTCCAGGACAGGTGCAAAGCTATACAGAGAAACCCTGTCTCGGGAATTAAAAAAAAAAAAAAAAATCATTTCCCCTTGATTCTTCTCATTCTGAACACTGCAATTTATTCTGTAAATGAGGTTGTGAATATCAAGGAAGAATAAAAAAAGCATATGTGCTTCATCAGAAATAAAATTTTATTGTTTTATCATGTAAAGCCACAGCCTGAAAATATCATGCTGAAAATATATCCCGTCTGAACCCTGAAATAGAAAATTACAGTGACACAATGGGATCATGTTTCATGAAAGAACTTCATCTTTGTTTACATGTTTTTGAAGCCAAGAATTCAGCTGGCGAGAGCTAGGAATCATCTAGAGCTATGCAGATGACCAGCAGCATACATGTGGGAAATTTGATGGGCCTTTACAGCTGAGTGAGTTGAGGAAGAACAGGTGCATTGCAAAGGTCGCACTTTCATCTGCTCCAGCAGGAGTAGGAAGAGTTCTGTTCATAAGGCAAAGTTGTATATTAGGTGGCTCAGCAGCAGGTGTTGCAGGGGGAGGTCCTGCAGGTGGTGCGGCAGGGGGCAGGCTGGCAGCAGGGGGGCCTGCAGCAGGGAGCCTGCACAGAGATGGGCTGGCAGCAGGTGGAGGCCCAGCAGCAGGGTCTGCAGACCACAGCTGTGCAAGAGGTGGGGCAGCAGGTGATGGGGCGGCAGCAGCCCTGCTGCAGGCTGCAGGGGTCACAGCAGATGGGGCGGCGACAGGGCTCACAGATGGGCCTGGTGCAGTGGGGCACGCAGGTCACAGGGCGGCACACTGTGGTCTGGCAGGACACTGGGCGGCAGCAGCAGGGGTCTCTGCAGCAACAGGGCTGGCAGCAGCCTCCACAGCTCTGGGAGGAGAAGGATCCACAGCAGGAGCCGGTCATGGTGGGTGTCTGTGCTGGAGTGGGGCTGAGAAGTGGAGAGCGGATGGGTGTTCTCAGGTGTGATGTCTCTTCTGGGTCGGGTCCCTTTATATACCTGGCCAGTGCTGATGATCCTAAGGACACAAAGTCATTTCCTGGAATTGTGGTTACCCAATGGAAAGAGAAGCCTGGATTCAGTTGCCAGGCAACAATTCCAGCATCTGCAAGGATGCTTTTCTTTCCACCCTTCTACTGTTTCCCTTGGAATGAATGCCTGATAGTTTGTATCATCAGAACTATTGCTCACCTGTCACTCAATCCTCCCAGGCTAGGCCATGTGACATACTGAAAGTCTGAAGTGCACATTACTGATGTCACTTTCACCTTGCTCACAGTCTCTGAAGAGATGTGAGGCTATGATGCACATGAGTCACAAGCCTGGTTTCTGATTGACATTCAGACAAAGTAACAATTCTTGAAGAGCCACGATGGCTCATAAAATAGATGTGTGTCTCTTCTGTTATGGGAAATATGGCCCACGGCTTCTGAAAAAGAGCTAATTGCCTTGCTTATGGAGAGATAATCACCAAAGCATCAGAGTGACCTTTAATAAAGGAACCCGAATTGTCCTGTAACTCACAACCTCCCATGAAACACTTACTATGTGAACAGGGCAATGAGGGGGACAGAGAAGGAAAACTAAGCTCCCAAATTCCTTACCACATAGTAATCACAATTTTTGGGGAGACAAGATAAAACTAAAAGTAATTAAAGATGAAGAACTCTTCAAAGGTGGATAAGATGAAACCAAATGAAGATTTTGTTCATGTCTGTCTTTTGATCTCTTTCTTGACTGCTGTATTTCTTGCTTACTAACTGAGACAAACACTGCAATTTAAATTCTTTAAAATCTATTTCAGGGCTGGTGTGATGGATGACTCCCTGGGCAAATGCTCCTGCTGCTAAGTCTGACGATCAGAGTTCAATCCCACAGGACCCACATAGAGGAGAGAGAGAACAGATCTCTGCAGGTTGTCCTCTGACCTCCACACATACACCAGAACACACCTGCACACAAAATAAAGAAAAGAAATAAAATCCATTGGAAATATATGTGAAGGAATCAAACATCTTTCTGTAGTCAGTACTTGGGTTTGTTGGCTGAGAATTTTGATTTCTTATAAAAATATGGAATAGGATTATTACAAAATAGAAGGAGACTTGGTGAGCCGGTTACTGGATAGAGAACTTTGTGCTTCACCATCGTAAGGAGTGGATATGGAAGATAAACGAAGGGTAGAGAGGCATGTGAATAATAGCATGGGGAAAGGATTGCTGAGGACTTTGGGATCAAATTTGCCTCTGAGTGTGTGTGACTATTAGTCTTGATTGTCAACTAGTCACACTGTAGAGTCAACTGGGAAGGGAGTCACAATGAGGAGTTGTCCAGTTCAGGTCAGCCTGTGGCTATGCCTATGAGCTATTTGCTTAATTGGGTTGACTGAGGTGGGAAGACTGACCCTGAATGTGGGCAGTATCATTTCACGGGCTGGTCCCTTCAGTGAACAAAAAGTACAGAGTCAGCTGAGTACCACCCAGCATGCACTAACTCATCGCTCTCTGCTCTTGACTACAGATGAAATATGAACAATTGCTTCAACTCCCTGCCACCTTGACTTCCCCACAATGATTCACGATAACTTGGAATTGTGCACCAAAATAAACCCTCCCTCCCTCCCTCAATTTGCCATAGTCAGGAATATTGTCACAGCAAGAAGTAACTAACAGAAGATCCCAAATTTCAGGTAGGAGATATAAAGTCACAATATTGCCCTCTATATTCATCATGTCATTTCCTGCGGAAGAGGGGTCTGTTTGCCAGTCCATGCTGATGTTGGTTCTTTTGTAAACAGTCCTGTTCAGTTTATCTAGATTTCATTTCCTGCAATGTTACCAGAATGCCATCACCCATCAAATCCTAAGATGACCTCCCCATTCTCTTTGCTGCTCTGCTTGGTGGGTGCTCTTGCTGACACAAGTTCAAAGACAGGCTTGTTGAAAGGGGAGTGTAGCAGGAATCTTAGAGAGTCTTATTAACAAAATCAAACCTGTGAGCCAGGTATTGGGGGTGAAGCTGGAAGATCAGAGATACAGAACAAGCCACAGCTAACCTCACCTGGCCAACTTCTCAGCTGATCTTGTTTCCTCAGACTGGAAGCCTCGGAGTCCTCATCCAGAATGGGTCTCAGCTGAATTGCTGCTAGAAGCCTGAAAGCTTAACCAGCCAAATGCTTAACTAGCCAAATGTTTCTAGTTTCTGGTCCTCACACCTTATATACCTTTCTGCTTTCTACCACCACTCCCTGGGATTAAAGGCTTGCTTTTTGGGATTAAAGGTGTGAGTCACCATGCCTGTCTGTATCCTTGAACACATGGATTTTCTGCCTCTGAAATGCTAGGATTAAAGGTGTGTGCTATCACTGCCTATCCTTTATGTTTAATATTGTGGCTTTTCTGTTCTCTGACCCCAGATAAGTTTATTAGTATACACAATATTTTGGAGAACACAATACCACCACAGGGGAGTGTCCCCAACTTGATGACATGAGCTTTTAAAGTCATATTTTTCCAGTTCCAAGCATTCTGCAAGAGCATAATCACCAGTGGGAACACGTGCATTTTAAGCATAATGTTAATTAGTTGTGAGACTTTTGTGGTTGGATCAGAGAAGAATGTAGCAATGGTGACTGTTGGTCCAGTAGGCCATGTCCTCATCTTGATAGCTTTATGATTATGTTTTGTTAGAAACTAGTTTAGGGGAAACTAGGTGTCAGGAGATGTATACAATTCTGGAAAAATACTTTTTTAATAGAGAATTATTTCTTGGTAGGACTCTTAAAGTACACTCCAGTCGTAGGAGCCAGAAATATGGATGAGGAGGGTGGAGGGGAAAGTACAGATAACATTCCCATAGGCCCAGTTTCCTCATCTGTGAAATGGAGTCTTCAGTATCTGGAGTTCTTCATGAATGCTCTATTATAATGTCTGTGCAAACACAGAAGACAGAGAGATGCAAATAATTAACCAAAAAGAGAAAATAGCCAAATTGGAAATACAGAAAAACAATGGTCAGGGAACTGGTGGAAATTTTGAATTTATTTCTGATATATATATATATATATATATATATATATATATATATATATATATATATATATATTGCATTATAGAAGTATATGTAAACAATCTATCATATATCTATATAATCTCTTTTAAGTCCTGCCTAAAGTCAGGAAGATTAAACCAAATATCTTGGGATCTCTTAACGCTTTTAGATTTAAAATCCCCTTGAATGGGTAAGTATGAGAGAAAGACTTTCAGATACACATATCACCTACTGTTCTTGTCTCTTGTTATTAAACTCTCCTCGGAAGACCTGGAGTCTGGAGCTCATTTCTATTGGTTTTAAAACTAAGACTCCTAGCAAGAGTGGATTTGTAGCCCGAACTGGCAATCTCCTGTGATCAGATTGGTGACTACCCCAATTGTCATGAGAACCTCCAGACACTAGCTGGTGGAAACAGATGCAGAGACCCACAGCCAAACATTTGGCTGAGCTCAGGGAACCATGCTGAAGAGAAGGAGGAGCCAGAGGTGTTAAGGACACCACAAGAAAACCCCCAGAAACTGACTAACCTGGCTCATAGGAACTCACAGGGTCTGAACCAACAACCAGGGAGTCTGCATAGGATTGACCTAGGCCCTCTACATATATGTGACAGTTGTGTAGCTTGGTCTACTTGTGGGATTCCTAGCAATGGGAGCAGGGGCTGTCCCTAACACTTTGGCTCGCTCTTGGAAACCTATTTCTCATACTGAATTGCCTTGCCCAGCCCTAATATAAAAGGAGATGCTTAGTCTTACCACAACTTGATATACCTTGTTTTGTCAATATCCATGGGAGGCCTGCCCCTTTCTCAACAGAAACAGAGGAGGAGTGCATGTCGGGGGAGATGCAGAGGGGAGCTGGGGATGGAACTGGAGGAGAGGAGGGAGGGGAAACTGTGGTCATGATGTAAAATAAACAAATTAAATAAATAAAAAACTGTAATAAGTTTTAAAGATATCTTTTCATTCTGAGACTATATTAATCTGATACCAAAGTATACTGACACCAGTTAGAAAATTCATTTCTCTGGTGGATATGAAGTATCTCAGAAAAAAAAATTGAAACATGTGAATAAGATCTCCCCCTGAATTCTCTCTGACCCTCAATGATTTGATTTGAACCAGTGAGCATGTTTCTGTTTGTTTGTTTGTTTGTTTGTTTGTTGTTATTTTAAGACAGAGTCTAACTGGTGTAAATAATAGCACTGGGCACTTAGTGTGTGATTGGTAGAAGTCATTCAACTCTTCCAGAGATCTATGCTGAGAATTGCTAAATCTCCCATTTTACAGTGTCATCCCTAGGTAGGTGGGCCTGGGCTGTGTAAGAAAGGCAGCTGTGGAAGCCAGAGGGAGCACGCCAGTAAGCAGTGCTCCTGTGCTCCCGTTCATGCCTGGAGCACCTGCCCTGGCTCCTCTGGATGGACTGTCCCCTGTAAAATGAAACAAGTCCTTTCTTCTCCAAGTTGCTTTTGGACATACTGTTTACCACAGCAGCATGAAGCAAATTATAACAGAAACTAAAAGCTAGAGCAGTTAAGTGGTCTATGATGATTTTGTCTTTTCTTTAAGTGAATACTTCCTTATTTTTAATTCTTGTAAAGACAACTCCTTTGCAGCTTAATTTCATTTAAAAAATGGAAATCAAGCACCAGCCTTGTACTAAACACTGAGCTCTATCTCTTCAGGCAATGCCAATAAACGACCATCTCTTCCTCAAGAGCAGAGACTAGATAACCTCAATGTGGTGCTTTGTGCAGAGTGAGGTAGCTAAGGATGCTCCAGGAAGACGCTTGGGTACCTATTGTAGCCTGATGTTATGCAAGTGGATGTGTACGTGTGCATGTGTGGTTTTTTTTGTGGTATGTGGTTTAAGACACACCCACAGGAGAGACTGAGATGATGATCAGAAATGAATCAGAGCTAAGTACTTAAAAGGAGACGAAAGAATATTTGAGAGAAATGACAGAACTTTGGTTTCCTGGTGCAGTCTAGACTTCTGTTCATCTGTACACTCCAGTCACATACACTAATGAATGAATCAGGAGTGTGGCATTTGCTATGCCAAGAAAAATCGTTTTATTGAAATAGTGAGCAACACATGGTAAAGACATTATTGAGGATTTGGACTGCCTGAAACATAAGGGCTTAAGATGGGTTAGTCGAGTCCATTCTGGGGACCTCTGAAGGTGATTTACCATCCATGATGATGCCTACTGGGACAGATGTCTCCCAATTTAGCATAGGACAGGAATGACAGTGTCCTTATTTCACATTGTATCCAGGCTGCAGGATGTTAAATTGTTGTCACCTTTGGGGAAAAATATTTTCTTTCATTTTGATTAGAAACCCAAATAGGTGTGTAGGTGATGGCACATCCTTAGTGGGGATGCCAGGAGCTCAGCAGCAGGTGTTGCAGGGGGAGGTCCTGCAGGTGGTGCGGCAGGGGGCAGGCTGGCAGCAGGGAGGCCTGCAGCAGGGAGCCTGCACAGAGATGGGCTGGCAGCAGGTGGAGGCCCAGCAGCAGGGTCTGCAGACCACAGCTGTGCAAGAGGTGGGGCAGCAGGTGATGGGGCGGCAGCAGCCCTGCTGCAGGCTGCAGGGGTCACAGCAGATGGGGCGGCGGCAGGGCTCACAGATGGGCCTGGTGCAGTGGGGCACGCAGGTCACAGGGCGGCACACTGTGGTCTGGCAGGACACTGGGCGGCAGCAGCAGGGGTCTCTGCAGCAGCAGGGCTGGCAGCAGCCTCCACAGCTCTGGGAGGAGAAGGATCCACAGCAGGAGCCGGTCATGGTGGGTGTCTGGGCTGGAGTGGGGCTGAGAAATGGAGAGCGGATGGGTGTTCTCAGGTGTGATGTCTCTTCTGGGTCGGGTCCCTTTATATACCTGGCCAGTGCTGATGACCCCCAGGCACATGATCATTCTTGTAAATCCTCTGGCTAATTAAGGGAAGAGTTAGCATTGACTAATGGTATCTTTTCCCCCTCCATACATAGCATGCATATACATCACAAATATTTCTTTATTTTCTTTTGTGGTTTATTCTTACTGAGTCTAAACTCTGGACTCAATTATGATGAGTTTGGAATATTTGTAAGTCATCAAAGAGGAAAGAATTTGTTTTCTAAATCAGATATGATCTAACTACTCTCTCCTTGGCTCTGACGCCATCATCCTGCCTTCAAAGACTCCCTGGGTTACCACCCAAGCTGTGACTTACTTTATTAGCACACACATGATAGCAGCAGATTAATAGCACCACTGTAAACAGACCAATACTCATCTGCTCCCCAGAGAACTCCCAGCATGCACCTCTGGCAGGTGTGTGGTTTTATGTGTGATGAAGGACCACATGGGCATTTCCAGCCTGTCACACTGGTTTGGTCACTCTCTCTTGCTGAGGATCAGGGCTTTCCAGTCAGTGTTGGCTGTTGTTTCCTTACTGACCTGGAATGCCCTGCTTGTCCTGAACTCAACTTCCACCTTGATCTTAAAATCTGCTTCCAAGATTCTTTGCGATTTTTATCTTTGGGATTTATTTAGGATTAGTCATCGCATCTCTAGAATCCAGGAAAGGATTGTGGAACTTCTATAGGTCTGTCCCTTCCCTCCTTTACTGTTGTGGGGTTTACTGAGGTCACACAGTGAGGTTGCAGTGTGAGGTCTGAGCTCTGAAACCCCTCACTCTTTATTGATGTCAATAGTCTCTGCCCTGGGGTCTATGCGTACTGTTCTGTAAACCATGATTTTATCAAAATCAGTAGGACGGTTCCTTTTATGCTTATGTGAGATTGCTAACTGATCCCATCAGTGAAGTAGGGAAACTTTTGATCACAGAAACAGATAACTTCTGGGTGAGGACCAAGCCCAGAAAGTTCTCTCTGGAGGTCATCAAAGGACAAGCTCTTGTTGGCACCTTTATTTCCCTAATTTTAGTCTGATTTAGCGAATGGTGGGAAATGAGGACAAACAGCTTTCAAAACCGAACGCAAGAGCCAGCAAGATGGCTCAGCAGCTGGCCTCAAAGCCAGAGGACCAGAGTTCCAGCCCCAGGAACCACAAGTTGAAAAGCGTGACCCAACTCCTACAGTTATCTTCTGACCTCCACACATGCTCTGACAAGGGCGTCCACATGCACGCACACACTTTTTGCATGCATGCACGCACGCACGCACGCACGCACGCACGCACGCACGCACGCACGCACAAGATAAGCGTTAAAAGATAAAAACAACCTGACTCGGCCGGGCAGTGGTGCCTTTAATCCCAGCGCTTCGGAGGCACAGGCAGGTGGTTCTCTGTGAGTTCGAGGCCAGCTTGGTCTACAAAGTGAGTTCCAGGAAAGGCGCAAAGATACACAGAGAAACCCTGTCTTAAACCACCACCACCACCACCCCACAAAAAAAAAAAAAAAAAAAAAAAAAGAAAAGAAAAGAAAATACAAAACAACCTGACCGGGTGGTGGCACACGCCTTTAATCCCAGCATTAGGGAGGCAGAGCCAGGCGGATCCCTGTGAGTTCAAGGCCAGCCTGTTCTACAGAGCGAGATCCAGGACAGGCACCAAAACTACACAGAAAAACCCTTTCTCAAAAAACCAAAACCAGCCAACCAATCGAACAAAAACCTGACTTAAATTCTCTTTATATGTCATTTATGCTGAAATCACTCTTCTCCGGTGGGGATCTTTGTTGACATCATGAGGAAATTAGCTCTATCTCACATAAAAGATATCATGGAAATGTAGCTGTGAGTGTTCTCAAATTCATTATGTCTGTCTTTCTTTGTGCAATGGTTTCCTCTTGGTTCCTTGGTACTACTTTATGATCTGGTAAAAGAAAACTAGTTCCCAGTTTGTTTACAAATAACCTTTTTAATATTGACCAGCTTCTGTAGACATTTTGTTAGTCTTTCTTAGTCATTTGAATTGATGATTCACATCATAGGATTGTAGGGAATCCCGTTTTCTTTTGCAACAGGTTTTTATTAAAAGCATCTACTCTAAGAACAGCTTGCCATAGTTACCATAGCTACCTTCTCTAATGTACTTCATTTACTGGTGTTATGTTTCAGCTGCTGTTTTCCTGCCTCCCACATGAGAACTCTAATTTGCTGTTTATTGAATGCTTGATCTGTTCCATGGATTGTAACAGGTATTTTAATAACTGATTGACTACCATGCTAATCAATGGAGGTGGCTATTATTATTATCTCCACACTAAAGAGGAGCAACCTGAAGCTTAGAGAAGATAACTAATTTGTTCAAGATCACACAGCTGTTTACTAAGAGTCTGGATACATAGTCAGATATGTCTCAGTGGTTAGTTTATGTTTAAAAAAAGATGCTTTCAAATGAATGGAATCATCTTACAGGTTAACATAAATAAGTTGACTTTACACTGTTCGTATCAGCTTAGTTTTATCTATTAATATTCAAATTTATGATAAAAAATTTTATTAAATCTCAAAATATAACCAGTCCTGGTCTGTATTCTTGGATACCACTTAATTTTTGCTGTCTTGTGGAAAACCATCTTCCCATCTTTGCATACTGACAGGCATACTAAACTAGTTTATCATTGCCATGACTGAGTTAGTTACATTCAACTGTGGTGCATAGCAAGCAGCCATCAGCTCTCATCAAGTACAGTAATCGGAGTTTATTTCCTGGTCTGGATGATTTAAAACTGGGAATGGCTTCTGGTCACAGGTTAGTGTAGATCTTTTGGAACTCGGGTTGCCATATTCCAAAAATGAAATTGTATATGTTCTAGATACATTATTTTCTAGATACATAATTTTATAGTTGTTATGCTTGAGTGTAGCTGACACATCTTTACATTTTAAAAGTATTTGTTGCTTCTGGACCAGAGGTGAGTATCTGGGCCCAGCCTGGACCCCATCCCTGGGCACCAGCCACTCCTGGGAAGACCTGCCCAACTTGGCCTCAGGTTCTGGCCACCAGGCAGGTTCCCTTCTAGCCCCACCGGGAAGGATCCCCTTCTCCAAGACCCCCACCAGACCCTGCAATCTGCCCCAGACTTCCCTTCTGGACCAGAGAGGGCTCCCATTTTGCCCCGGACTTCCCTTCTGGACAACAGCTCTCACCCTGCCCCAAACTTCCCTTCTGGACCAGAGAGAGAGCTCCCAATATGCCCCGGACTTCCCTTCTGGACAAGAGCGCCCATCCTGACCCGTACTTCCCTTCTGGACAAGAGCGCCCGTCCTGCCCCGGACTTCCCGTCTATATAAGAGCTTCCATCCTGCCCCGGAGTTCCCATTTGGACAAGAGAGCTCCCATCTGGACAAGAGAGAGAGACTTCCTGGAACTTTCAGCTCTGTCTGAACTAAGTGCGCTGATAAGACCAAGAACGAACCACAAGGAGATGGGCAGACGTCAAGGCAGAAGTACATACAACAAAATGAAGAGCAATACAGCATAACCAGAACCTAGCCCACCTCCAACATCTAGACCTGAACATCAAAAATTGGAAGAAGCAGAAGAAAACAGCCTTATGAATAACATCATGAAGAAGCTAGAGGCTTGTGTAGAGGAAAAGACAAAAAAATGGGAAGAATGCTATAAACAACTAGAGGAAAGGGCAAACAAATTAGAAGACAACAATAAAGTCCTGGAAGGAAACAATAAAGTACTGAAAGAAAATCATGAAAAAGCAATGAAACAAATAAAGGAAACAGTCCAAGACCTGAAAAGGGAAATAGAAAAAATGAAGAAG